TGCTAAATTTTCTTCTCTTCCACTTCTTTTGCACTTTTCAACCAATCAAGCCTCGACATAGAAGCAGTCCTTTTCCAGGGTTTGAGGTCAGACTCTGGAGAATCAGAAGTTGCTGTTGATATGCATCACCGCATATTGCTCCCTTCAGGGCTCTCAAACATAGTAGCTCTTTTGAAGGTGGAGAAGGCATATTTCTTTCATTTGGTTTTCTAAGAAACGCAAAAGTAACTCCTGGCCGAATGCAGCAGAAGACAAGAAACTCATAAAATCATTAATGCAAAAAGGCCTACAGCTACAAAACAAGCTTTTTTTATGATAAACAACTTATTTATTATTATGTTTGCAGACATATTTTATATTTAAATGTTTAAATATTCATTTTCTGGCTCTATTCCATTTTCTTTCTGAAGCATAACTCTAATTTCATTTTCAAAATTCAATTTATTGACAAAGTATCAGAGGAAGGGGTTTGGAACTAAGTATAAGTATCTAGAAATCAGTGATTGGTTGATTAAAACCATTTGTTATGTTGTTGGAGTCAATGAACCTAAAAGCCTCAGGCAGGCACTCCTTGCTTTACATTTTACCTGTTAATTTCCATGCAAGTAAGATAGTGCCAGTTTAAGAGGTTTTGGTTAAAGGGAAATAGGGCAGTATTATTTGCCACGGCATATGGCGGAGTGCAATGTAAACCAATAACAGTAGTAGTATTTGGGCGAAAATATATTTCGCCCAAAAATATACGGTCAATTCACTTTACAGTCTATTCTGTGAAGCGCTTTGAGACGTCGAGAAGATGTGAAAAGCACTATATCAAATGCAAGGATTATTATTATTAATAAAATAAATCTGTGAAATCTTTACAGTCCAGACTATGTCAGTGCCCTTCCAAGACACATAATTTTACCACAAAGTTGTTTAGCTGTTTGTTTGCTCATAAAACCTCAGACCATTACTTAGAAGTCCAGGTTTTGGTGAGAGGTGGTATGTCCATCAATTGGGAATCAACTACTGCTTAAGGAATTGCATTAATATGTTGTATAAATAGTTCAAAAAATATTGTATTCATTCTTTTAATTTTAGTCTTAATAGTACAGTGCACAATGATGGAAATTGAAAGCAGTTTAGCATCTTTAAAGCTACATGATCTTCCTATCTCAACTGTGATACTTATTTCATATTTCAGTAGTGACAAAATCAAATTTTTCCAATTTACTTGGAACATCTTCTTGACATGATAGTCGCTGTACAAACGTAATTTTGTGGTATTTATTCAGCATTTTTCTTCTTCCCAATTTAGCCCCTGATCAGTTGGGATACCAGCAATTCTGTCGACACCATTAATGATGTTTTTTTGTGGATTGACCCACTTAGCAGTATGCTTGAAGGGAATAGAAAGGAGATTCCATGAACTCAGTTAGTTTTGCATCCTTCCCCCCCTCAAAAAAAATAGCTTAGGCTGGGTGTGAAGTCAGGATTGTTAATGTTAATCAAAGTATTGGTTTGCTGGTAAAGAAAAAAATGTCAGATACAACTTTCACTAGTGTTGTGCACTAACAGACTGTAAATAAATTAGAATATAATTTTTCAGGGAAAACAGAGTTATGGTAAGAGGCTGCTTTGTACCATATAGTACATTTTTGATAGATTACAACCAGCTTATGTTGGCCAACAAAAAGGAATAAAGCTGCTTTAAAGCAGTGTTTTGGTTTTGCACAAATGGGTTAGCTGTTCCTGTATGTAAACACTAAAGAACCAAGCAGTGAAGTTTGAATCTCACTGGAGTTTGTCAGGAAACCAGCTTTTTAAAGGCCCCTTCTTTTCTCACATGCTGAGCAGATCCCTTAACTTTGCCAAGGCTCACTAATGAGAAGGAGTTTGATTTTGGGTCGATTCATGAGATGCACACATTTGCGAAAATAAAAAGTTGGTTAAAAAAACATTGTGCTATGGATTTTCTGGATATTTGCTCTTTGACGGTGACTAGGGTCACCTGCCCCAGGCTTGGCATCATGCTCTAACCAATACGCTACAAGTCTCCACAATATTACTACGTTGCAATATTAGATTATTGCAATGTTTATAAAATGCAATAGTGTATATTTTTGACAATAGTGCACAAAACACCTCTATCAAAATTGAAAGTACCAGTATCTGAGTGGGGTGTAACCATATGAGATTGGATGAGGGAGTAGAAAATATTTTAAGATCTGCTTTAAAATATTTTTAAGATCTTTGCAAAATAGATGTATAGTAAATGCATTAAATTGTAACTGTATAAAATAAGTTTACAACTTTACTAAATACAAAGAAACCGTTACAAAAGTGGCTTTGGTATCTGACACAATGTTTGTGAGTAAACTGTGTAGGAAAACACTGTATAATAAATGTTACAGAAGCCAGTGAAAGCCTAAATATTGTTTTGTGGCTATGTAAGTATCACAGAATGCTGATCTTTACTACTGATACAAAATAACTCTGCCTCAAATTCATTTATACAATACATGATTTAATTTGTACAAGAATAACTCACTGAAGTGTAAGGCTTTTCTGGTGCTTTTATTTAGTTGCCCTCCATCCATTCATTACCTGTCAAAGTAACCAGTATTTACCTATGAGCCTTGACAGTTGGATCTGCAGGCTGTTCAACTGCAGGAGGCATTATAGTCCAGCCAAGTTTGTCTTTCTCTTGCACTTCCAGCAAAGCCCAATGGACATTGATCAATTTTTCCCCACACGCTCGTGAAAACAAAGTGTCTAATTTTACACACCCAAAATATTGTGCCATAATGGGGTACCGCTGCTCGCTCAATGAAATCATTGGTCTCAAGTTGAGCGGGATGTGCTAATTATTGTGGGTCAATTCACGAGCAGGTTGGTTGGTCTGTTTCACGTCCCCCGCCTTGCTCGCCCCACTATCAGCGGGCGGGCCTTCCGCCACTCTGCACCCACCCTCAGGAACTCCATCCCGCAGTCCTTCCGTCTCGCTCCCCCACCCTCGCTCACCACCTTCAAGACCCACCTCAAGACCCTCCTCTTCGACCGTGGTATTGATCTCCCTACATCCCCCCTGCCCTCCACCCTCCCCATCCCGACCCCCAGCTTGGGTCCGTAACTCTGTTCCAGCGCCTTGGGACGTCCTCCCGACGTGAAAGATGTTATACAAATGTAATTTTGTTGTTGTTGTTGGGGGTTATCAGTGTTTCCAGAAGCATTACTACAATTTACAGTATCCTGTGAAGCGCTTTGAGGAGTCTCAATGACATGATAAGGCATTATATGCAAGGATTATTATTAATAAGTGATGCAACGCTTGATAAGTAAATTTCCTGATTCTTACATCTGTTTTCTCATATACAAATTATTGCTGCCATAAAATTTCCAGATTAGCATTACCCTTGATAAAAATCAGAAAGTTGGACAATTTAAAATTATCAATTGGTTTTGGTGATAATGGTGAACTTCATTTGGCGAACTTCATTTTGTAAAACACTCCACGACAATATTATTAGCCGAAATTGTCGTTCAGCCAAATCAGCCTGTAAGATTTTGTCCTGGGGTGAAAGTTGTGTGAAATAAATTGGTATGAAACTAATTATCTGTTCCCACTGAATGATTAATAGCACAACTTAACCTTATATAATTGCAGCGCTGAATTCATAGCAAGAGATAATTATTGGGAGAAGTGCGATTATTGCTTGTTACTTGATAATTGATGTCTCACTATCTTTTACAGGCATTAATGTACTACTATTTGACTGAAGTCAGGAAAGTATTATTTATAATAATCCTTGCATTTGATATTTTGTTAGAATATGGTCAAAAGGGGGAAAGGCTGTTGGAGAAAGAACTGCATAAAGCAAGATATTGGAACACTGTCCTTTTACCTCGAGGATCTGGGATCAAATCCAGCCCAGACTCGCGGGATGAAAGTCTCGTCTCTCTGACAGCTGTGAGGGTTGAAAGTAACATGAGCTTGAGCAGTTTCAATCCAGATTCTAATGGGCATTAGTCCATGGCACAAAGCTGCCCATAGTTCGGCACTAATTAGTAATGTCACTCAGGGAGGCCCTAAGGATGTCTGGTGTGGGAAGTAAAAATGTGAGACTGGTGCAATAGTAGTACTCTTCAGAATCTGGGGTTAATTCAGTTTATAAACAGTATACAGTGAGCGTTGGTCTTTTCAAATTGCATGCTATATCTGACGTGAGATAATTGATTCTGATATTGGACAAAATTACACTTACATCATTGCGAAACCTTGTTTTTTTCCATGCAAACATGAGACGTTTTATTTTCTCTCCTCTCCCAAATTGTTTATACTGCTTTATGTGGTTTACAGTGAACAGCTAGGGTTAAAGTACAGGCACTATTGATATAATGTCTAAGGTGCAGGTATAGTGTTCCGATCAGTTATTGTTGCTGTACCTCTCTGCCATCGTAACAAGTAAATGTTCACCTACCGTTAGAGTCCAAACGCTGCACAAACACACCAAGATGTGCAGAGATCACAAATGTCTATCCCACTAAGTTCCTCTTCAAATCTTGTAGTAGAACGAATGATGAATATACATTGAATCAATTCACTTTTCAGTATGAAATTCACCCTTTTGCTTAATATCACCTTTTTCAATTGTCAGGGTCTGTGTGTTTTAATAGTAACTTATCAGTTTCACTAATTCTGTTGTGCTCTTATTTAGTGCAGGAGATAACTCGCAATTCACAGGGAAGGGAGTAGACAGAAAACCTCCAAAGGTGTTGGTTTCTAATGGCAATAATAATCTTTTAAAGAAGAAAAGTGTTGCGCGCAAAATATACAGTCATTTCATTTTACAGTATATTCTCTGAAGAGCTTTCAGATGTCTCAACGATGTGATAATGCACTATATCAAATGTAAAGATTATTGGCATTATAAAGTATGTTAATTTATACAGAAATGTTGCTCTTACTTAAGCACAGTGACTAAATTTTTATATAACTTCTCTTTCTGTATTTTTAGGCTGGATTAATCCGTATAAACAGTGGTGAGTTTTTCATAGAGCCATTGGAAAAAGGGCAGCAATTGGAGGAAGAGAAGGGTCGAGTTCATGTGGTATATCATAGGTCATCTATCAAACAAGAAGTAAAAGGTCAACATATTGAAGGTAATTAAAAACAGATAGCGACTGGGGCTTTCAGTTTAATGCATGAAAGATTTAAAAATGTATATCACAGTTGTCTTTTATACTGTTCCTGGTTTGGATACTGCTAAGTATGGTGATAGGTTTCCGCATATGTAGGAAGCCCAGCTGACCAAACAATAATACTTTATATTGTAATGGAACACCAGAAAGGTTCCTGCATCTTAAAATCTTTAATGGTACTTTTACCAACCACTGATTTGGTTTACTTAACTCTTGTTTGTTTTCATGCTTTCTTTGTCAGTTTTATCCATCCAGTAGTGGATGTGAATATGGTATTGATATGGTAATTTTTTTTATTGAGAACACTGACATTGTGGCATAATAACTTATTGTTTTGCAATGATGCAATATACGGTATGTGTTAGCTGTTACAAGCACATGAAGGAAGTTAGTACACATTGACAATTTAAGGTACATGTTATAGTAATTGCATGACCTGTTTGCTAAAATAACTTGCTGCACAGGCTGTCACATCCTATTCATCTCAACATGAACATTTCTGTATAACATCTTGAGTTCTTCAAGGAAGCTCCTGAATGTGTTGTGTTAATATTTCATGACTTACAAGTTGTTGTTTCAACTACATTTGTTTCTGTACAGTGTACATTTCAAATGCCCTAATAATATTGCACTAAAAATATATTATTTGCTACTGTTTAACTGGTTGGTGGTGATCCCAAGGCAAAACCTTACCACCAGCGTCTTGGGACGTCCTCCTCACATGAATGGTGCTAGATAAATGTAAATTTATATTCTATTGTACCTTGGTAAATGTTTTTCATCTTGCTTGATCACAATCCACTGTTCTGGATAGTTTCAGCGTCAAGCCTTCAGCTTTTCTGCCCCCACCCTTTGGAAATACATCCCACACTTATAAAAACATAAGAAATGCGAGACAAAAAAAAAGACTAAGGTTCATCTTGTTTGCTTTCCACCTTAATGGCGGTCGTATGCACATGTGTCCTGAACTATGTACTTTATCCCATCAAAGTGTGATGAAGACCTATCTATCGTGCGTTCTATGAATTCTATATTAAACAGTGTGCTTAATCACCACATAAAGTTATAGGACCTCATCTATATCAATTCTAGATGGAAATATTAATGGGTTGCGTAATTTACTGCACTTCTTTTTATCTCCTAACATTAAAATGGCTTATGACTATGAAATTCAAAACATTATCACTATTACACACTAGGTTTGGAACGTTGGTAGTTGTATCTGCTTCATGGAGGAGAGGCCTCTGAACCTGTTGAGAATTTCCATTTCCAGGCAGAGATAACAGAGACCTAAAACTCCCTTGACTCACAAAATGGTCTGTAATCTTGACCATGTCTGATCATGAATTTTATGACAACCAACTTTTGAGAACAGTAGTTCCCTTCAAATCAAGTGGTTTAATTGCAGTGAATTTCTCTTGACAATCATGTTTTGAGGGTATAACTTTTGTGCCGTCATAATGAGAGTTACTAACGCACAGGGTCACCAGCTCAAGACAATAACTAGATCTGAAAACATGCTGTGCAGCGATGGACCACTCATCTCTTGATATTTCTCAGTTTTCTTCCAAATGTTGCTAAGGGATTGAAACAACTTGATGGTTTGCTGCATGATATCCTTGCCTGGAAGTCGACATTCCAGGATATATCATTATTCTAGGTATAGCTACTTTGTGCAGAGATGAAAGTTCATGTGTAGGGTGCGTGCAATGCACAGATCATTCATCTGGCTGAAGTCCTTGGAGCCTCAACTACCACTTTGCCTATTAAACTATCTACGATGAGACACTACATCTTGGAACTGTGAAGGCTCCGAGGGGAAGACTGATGTAGAAGCCAACAGATAGAAGTACCTTTGCCTGACAGTACATACCAAGAAGAAGAGAGCAGAGAGATTGAATCTGACAACAGTATCCTCTTCCAGGATTCTGTAAATCTGGACGCCGAGGTTACTCCAGTGTATGAGCTAGAGCGAAGAACTATCTCAACTTGTATTCTGATGGATGAAGAGACACAAGACTTCTGAAGATAACTGGAAAATGTATTGTTGAATCTCTGCAAAACATTCTGAACACATTATTATGCCTTGCCTCCTGCTGTTGTATCATCTTGGAAGGAAGTTTTATGACATGCAGCCTCAAACTGTCTACTCAATGGACTTCCACTGGAGTTAATTGAAGTAGACTTTGCTATGGCATAATAGCCACTCCTCTTATATTATTTATCTTAAATAGAAACTGCTTAATTTTTTGTATTAGCGTATTACCAAACTGCAAAATATTTAAGATGCTGCGTATTGGCAGAATCATTTTCCAGCTTCTAATGTCATTTCAGTATGCAACACGCAAAAATGTGAGCTAGCCCTTGTCTGGCAGAAATGTTTGCTGGACAGCCTTTTGCTTTCAGTTGATGATTAACTGTAGTTTATTTTTCTTTGATTGTTCTTTTAATTGGAATGTCAATTCACCTCGCGCTTTGTTTAATAAACCAGGAAGGTTTTATATGCATCTCATTCATCGAAGAGCTGCCTTACAATGTGCAAGCTCATCAATGTTTCATGTGCCAATGTTCTATGGTTTCTAAGGATTTTTAATAAAACTTTTTTAGTGATGTATTAGATGTATTGTGCCTCATTCCTGGGAATGTGGTGGTGACATGATCATTGTGAGAGGCTCTGTGTAACGATGTAGTAACGCACACAAGATGACGTGATAAACTGCAGTAATTTTGATGTGGTGTAAAAGACTTATGGCATAGCTCGATTTAGTTTAGATGCTGCCCCTTTCCCTGTTGCTAGGACTCCAGTAATATGAACAGTTTAATTAGTGTACGTGCTTAGCAGTCCTGCTGAAATCATGCGTTGATTGGCTTTCAGATGTCTCATTTTCCATACATTCCATAAAGTATGGTCCAGTTCAGCACTGCATAACATCCAGTGCACAAAAATCATCTGTAAGTTCATTCCACCAGAGTAGGAGTACTGCAATTCCATCCTCGTACCCGCATAGGGTGAGACAGCAGTAAACAAAGTGGTTGGTATGGTGGGCTACATTGCCAAATCAGCTGAGTTCAGATTCCCAGAAGTCATGCTCAAGCTGTACAGTGTTCTGCTTGGGCTTCATCTGGAGTACTGCACACAGTTCAGATTGATCCAATGTCAGAGAGCTTCTGAAGCCCTCAAGATAGAACAAAGGAGAGGAGGCAGCCTCTGAATGCGATACAGTGGGCAGCGTCTTTGGATAACAGAGCCCAAAGATTGCAACTACATTTGGTCACTCGATCCACGACTGTTTGTAGGACAATTAGTAATTGGCTGCCGCGTTTCATCCACAAAATACACAATTGACTCATTTTACAATATTTTCTGACGCACTGTGATATGTCTCAACGATATGATCAGGTGCTATGTCAAATGCAAGAATTATTATGAGTGAGGCCAAATGGATGCCTTCTTGTGCTGCAAACTTACTATGGTTTCTAGTTTTAAGAAAGATATACTATGAGGATGGAGGATGCTATTGAAAAATTGTGTCGTACTGCTATCATAATAACATATTTAATTAAAGATTTGTAGGAAGACCCATCTGTTGTGGATGCTATGAATTCTATATTAATCAGATTTTTAGCATTGAAAAGAAATATTTCAAAGAGGACCTTAGAAATATATAAGATGATAAAAGGAATAGAAAAAATAAACCACAATAATATTTTCAGATATACTGGGAAAGTAGAAACAAAGGTTACAGGTTCAGGGTTGTGAAGGGCAATTTAATCATAGATACTTTCTTTGTCTAGAGGATATCGACAGCTGGAACAGGATTTTTAAAAAATTCTTGCGTTTGATATAGCGCCAAAAATGTCTCATTAGAATTACACAGAGAGAAACAGGCCATTTCGTTCAACTACTTTAGATTTTACAAAGCTTTCTGTAAAGCGTGTATACATAGGCAGCCACCGTAGGCTTATTTGCACATAATAATGTCCCACAAAAACCCATGAAATGAATGATCAATTTTATCTAGAGGATTGTTAATAATAAAACAAAATTCTCCATGACCATTATTGGTATGGTTTAGTGGTTTCCTGAAAGCCGAGATGATTCAGATGAGCAAACAGATAATGTCATCCAAGTGAAGCAGGCAGATGCAAAGTTCCATATCACCCATGTATTTTAATGTAGAATTATCTGACCAGAAAGCATGTATTGTACTAATTGCACTAAGATGGCTTTTCATCTTGTAAATCTTGCACCATATTCATGTTAAATGAAGTTGCTTCATTTTTGCACATGTGCATATTCTCATCATAAGACATTCAATACTTTCATTTTTCACTTTGGATTGTCGGACATCCATTGCAGTCCATGTATAGTTTCAAGGCCCAACTGTTCTTCATTACCAATGACCTGCTCATCTATGTAGACAACTCCCCCGATATGTTGCAAGGCAGTGTTTGTGAAGGAAGGCAAGAAAAATAGAAACAGATGGTCAGAGTGAATTACAGGAATGTATGGAGTCCCTCATTGACTTTGGGATTGTGTATGTACTGGCCTGAATCCAATTTTGGACCACACACATGCCTATAATTCACCCTGAACATCCATTATTGTAAACAGTAAACATCATTGGAATTATAACTCATCTTAAAACATTCCCAAGACTTTATGTGAACTGATTTGAGAATAGTTTTAAGATTAATAATAATAATCATAAACCTTGCATTTGATATAGCGCCCTATCACATTTCGAGATGTCCCAAAGCACTTCATAGAAGATACAGTAAAGTGAAATGACTGTATATTTTGTGGGCGAAACACGGCAGCCAATTGCGCACAGCAGTGTCCCACAAACAGTCGTGGAATGAATTACCAAATTATTATATATGTTTTAAGGGATTATTACCCCCGGAAAAGCGATCCGTCAATCGACTAACAACTAGAATCATACTTACTGCTAGTTAAA